AGAAATCACTGCATCCTTTACTCGGGAGTAAATCTGACGGCCTATGATGGGATTTACTCCTGCGTAAGTGTGAACGCAGTGGTGCTGTGGTCTAAACCAGGCTTCCTCAACCTCGCCCTCCAGATGTTTCTACAACTCCCATGATCCCTAGCTAGCAGGACCAGTGGTCAGGGATGATGGGAATTGTAGTCTCAAAACATCTGGAGGCCCGAGGTTGAGGAAGCCTGGTCTAAACCTCTGAGCCTCTTGGGCTCGGCGATCAGAAGGTCGGTGGTTCGAATCCCTGCAACGGAGTGAGCTCCTGTTGCTCTGTCCCAGCTCCTGCCAACCTAGCAGTTCGAAAGCACACCAGTGAAAGTAGATAAATAGGTACCACTGCGGTGGGAAGGTAAACAGCATTTCCGTAGGCTGCTCTGGTTCACCAGAAGCGGCTTATTCATGCTGGCCACATGACCCGGAAGCTGTACGCCGGCTCCCTCGGCCAATAAAGCGAGATGAGTGCCAAGACCCCAGAGTCGTCCGCGACTGGACCTAATGGTCTGGGGTACCTTTACCTTTAAGTGTGGATAGGGTTGTAAGCCTTTTGTTGCGATCCCTATCCAGTTCAAGAAGTCCAGAGGAGCTTGCTCTCGAGGAAAACCTTCCTTGGAGGTTTTCAAGCAGAGCTTGGGTGGCCGTCTGTCATGGATGCTTTAGTTGAGATTCCTGCATTGCTGGGGGTTGGACTAGATGACCATTGGGTCCCTTCCAACTCCATGATTCTATGAAACAAGCTCAGGCCGAAACCCCCTTCTAATCTAGCTTCCTGGTCTCAGAGCTGGCCAACCATGTGCTTATGGGATGCCCACACAAACAGAACAACATGCACCACTGCCCTCTCTCGTCCCCAGCATACCGCCTCTGATAGCAGACGTAGAACATAGCCATAATGTCTAGTAGCCATGGAAAGACTTACCGTATTTTTTGCTCTATAAGACTCACTTTTTCCCTCCTAAAAAGTAAGAGGAAATGTGTGTGCGTCTTATGGCGCGAATGCAGGCTGTGCAGCTATCCCAGAAGCCAGAAGAGCAAGAGGGATCGCTGCTTTCGCTGCACAGCAATCCCTATTGTTCTGGATTCTGAGATTCAGAATATTTTTTTTTCTTGTTTTCCTCTTCCAAAAACTAGGTGCGTCTCATGGTCTGGTGCGTCTTATAGAGCGAAAAATACGGTAACTTCCGTTCAGTTGTCTAATCCTCTCCTTTTTAAAGCCATCTAAGCTGGTGAACATCGCTGCACCATCTTACAGGAGCGGATTTTGCGCTTTAAACCATGTGCTGTTAAATTTATTCCCCTTTGCTGGCTGGGGTGGCCTTGGGTTCTAATCTTACAAGAGGAGGAAAAGCTTCTCCTTATTATCGACTCACCCCATTCCATGCACAAAATGTTACACACTTCCATCATGTGCCCCCCAAAAAACTAAAAAAGAAAGCAAGAAAACTAGAATCTTAGAATTGTATTAATAATAACAACAAGAATCTTATTGTTTATACCCTGCCCAATTCCAGCTGTAGAATTGGAAGGAATCCCTTGGTCATCTAATGCTTAGCTTTGCACTTGTGCTAGCAGTTTTGTTGATGCTCCTCATAGATAATATCTATCCCCTAGATATTTTTGGTTGTGTTTTTCTGAACCATTTCCAGCTCTGCCATATCCTTTCTGAGATGAGGCAGCCAGAACCGTCCGTGGCCTACCAAATGGGGTCTCACCTTAGATTTGTACAAGGGCATGATGATTTTATTGGCACTTTAATTTTCAGATCCTTTCTAAATAATTCCTTTTTTAAATTATTAAATAATTTTTTATTAAATTTTCCATTTTAACAATCCAATCAAATCACATTAAATATTCCAAATTATACAAATCATATAGTCCAAATATTCTGCCAAATTATAATTTTTGGGGGGGACTTCCCATGCTTCAGGTTCGGGGGGGGGGGCTCTGATCCTTTCTGAATAATTCCTACCTTGGAATTCTGCTAGGATCCCAGCTTTTCCATTTTAAGCTTATTTCTTTCGAAGTCAATGGGCCTTACTCCCAAGTAATGGCAGTTGTGCAGTGTGGCTCTGCCTTCAGTCAGAAATTAGCCCAGACAAGCATGCATAGGATTTTGCAGCTTTATAATGCAAGCCTGTACATGAATACTCAGGAACAAGCCCCATTGAGTTCAGTGGAAGTTGCTGCTGAGTAAGTGTGCATAAATTTGCAGCCTTAGACTTGGAAGGCAGGTCTGCTTCTTCCTACTTTCTGTAAGTTGCCCTAGTCCCACCGACCCCAGTTGCAATTATTGTTGTTTTTTCCAAGTCAGTGCAGTGTTTGAATCATTTATTTATTTAATGCGTGTGTGTGTGTGTGTGTGTGTGTATGTATATATATATATATATATATATATATATATATATATATATATATATATGTTTTAATACTAATATTTTATAAAGAAGCTCAAAGTGCTGTACAGCATTAAAAATGAACACAATTATTGTGGTTTTTTAAAAAATAATAATAACCGATACAACATAAAAAAACAGTAGTATAAAAGCATATAAAATCAGAATTTGGGGGGTTTCGAAAAATAAAAATGCGATTCAATTTTATGGCCCAGGAGAAACGGAAACCTGTGTTTTTAGAAGGTGTCTGACGCAACTGATAGTTGCTGCTTCAGGTTTCTGTAAATCCTTTTAGAGAGGAATGTGGATCAGGTGAATTCATTCCAAGTTTGATTACTGCAAAAGCAACAGAGACCGCCCCTTTCAGAAAGTCAGGTAAGGATGCATAGGATCAGATCCCACATTGTTTCCGGGGGGGGGGGGGGAGAATGCTTCCCCTTCCTCATTTTAGAAGATTCTCACACCTGTCCTGGATCAAATATCCTGTCCAGTCCCCCTGTTGGTCTACCAAGATGTGAAAATATAACACAACCACAGGGACTTATTTATCTGCCCAATTCAACAGGTGAAGCTTCTCTGAGCCGGAACCTGCGGTGATGGGCTGAAGCTGTACCACTTGCATTTCTGCCTTACTGTGTCGCTCTGACAGAGAGCTCTTGCATTGTAAAAAATAAAGGAAAGTAACACACCCTGGAAGAATGTGGATCTAAGATGACCAAGATGAGCTCATAAAGATAGAAATCCAAAGGATTAAAATGTCCAAGCTCTTGTTATGAATTTATGTTCTAGGAAACCAAGATTATGAGAAAGGATGAGCTCTAGCTATGTTACTCTAGTGGAGTGGTTCTGTTAATTGGCAAGGATATGCTGTGAAATGTGATCCAGTGGAAGATTTCTTAAATGTTATTACTGGGTATTATTAAGTAGTGTTGGTATGATCCTCATCTGTATAGTTTGTCATACAGAGATTCAGATGGTAATCAGGCTGCAAATAAAATCATAATGCATATACATAATATTGCTCAGTGTTAAGGGTAATTACAGACCTAGTAATCCTTGCAGTGGCCCTACAGGGAAGGGCAATATTAGCAGAGCAAACAGGGGAGGTGGCAGGGAATAGTTGCTACTCTCAGGCACCCACTTACCTGGGAGTAAGCTCCATTGAACTTGAGGGAACTTACTTCCAAGTAGATGTATCTAAGATTGTAACCCTAGGCACATTTATTTGGATACGCTATTGGGATGATGGTGGTGAAAGCAAGATAGGAACCCGAAATAATATGAATTTGGGTGTGGATTTGAGTTTTATCTTAGGAAACTAAATTCTCTGCCTGGTGGATTTTAATATTCTTTCTGCTGTCTCTATCTCTGCATCATTCATGCTAATGAAATGGATCATGTCCTCTTAAGATCAACTAACATGGATCTCTTACCAAGATAGGAAAGATTTCTTGGCAAACAGCATATAAATAATACTGTTGGCTAATAATAATAATAATAATAATAATAATAATAATAATAATACTGTTGGCTTCTTATGTTATGCAAAGCATAGCCAAATGTTTGCCATCAACATTAAGGGTGGCGCTGTGGGTAAAACCTCAGTGCCTAGGGCTTGCTGATCGTAAGGTCGGCGGTTCGAATCCCCGCGGCGGGGTGAGCTCCCGTCGTTTGGTCCCTGCTCCTGCCCACCTAGCAGTTCGAAAGCACCCCTAAGTGCAAGTAGAGAAATAGGTACCGCTCCGGCGGGAAGGTAAATGGCATTTCCGTGCGCTGCGCTGGTGCTGGCTCGCCAGTTGCAGCTTTGTCACGCTGGCCACGTGACCCGGAAGTGTCTTCGGATGGCGCCGGCTCCCGGCCTCTTGAGCGAGATGAGCGCGCAACCCTAGAGTCGGTCACGACTGGCCCGTACAGGCAGGGGTGCCTTTACCTTTACCTTACCATCAACATTTATGTGTCTTGGTGGCTTCTAACAATAACAGGTGCCAAATCTTATGGTCTAACTAGCAACCACGGCAGTTTTCCAGCCCAATTCTGTGTACATTTCCTTAGACATGAGTATGGGGATTTCAGTAGGACTTAACTCCTGTCTGCGTTTTGGATTTAGGATCACAGACTTAGGCTATCATTTTTTGTACCCGCTAACTAGGGAGGAAGCCCCATGGAACTCAATGAGACTTGTTTCTGAGCAGAGATCTATGTCACGGCAGTGCTTTGCACTCTTAACGTGAGAGGGAAGACAGCAGGGCTTAACTTCTAACTTGGTGTCTCACAAAGATGTTTTGGGAGAATGAAGTGGGGAGCATTGTGATGAGAAGTTAAACCTCCAACATTTGATTTTTAAAGCATTAAAGGTGGCTGGGGTGGAGAAGCTCTCCTGCCTAAATAGACAGAATAAAATTGAAAAGAGATGGGGGGAAGTTTGTGTGTGTGTGGAGGTGGGGAGACACTATTATGATTTTAAATTAAACAAACAAACAAACAAACAAACAAACAAACAAGGGAATTATGTGCCCCAAATGGGATCCTATGGGATCCACACTGAAGTCAGCAGTTGGAGAGACAGTAGCAATGGCTCCCAAGATCCCTTGCAATATTGCAGGTAGATGCTCTTCAGCAAACGATAGTAAACACGAATTCTCCAGAATTTTGTCCCATTCCACTTCTCTCTCCTAGACTATCCTCCTTGTTTCTGACAATGCACCCCAGGCTTGTGATCGTGGCAGCATTGAGCCTCTGGCACAGCACAGACATCTTTGTGCCATGACAGCAGTTCTTAGGCAACAGGGCATCTCAACCCCCTCTGTGCAATGCACTTGCAAAAATTTTAAAAGCAGAGAGTCAGCTTTTTTTTTTTTGCCAAAAGAAGCAGCTACTTTCTTACAGGGTGTTACTTCGTCATTTTGTTTGTTTGCTAGTTGAAAAAACGCAATAAAAACATGTGGCTTTATTGTTTCAAAAACCATCTGCACACCATACATTTAAAGCACGGCCACCAAAGAATTCTGGGAACTGTAGAATTTGTTAAGGGTGCTGGGAACTGTAGTTTGGTGAGGCTTGAACTACAATTCTCAGAATTCTTTGGGACAGGTCAATGTGCTTTAAATGTATGGTGTATGTGCAGGAACACACAGAGAGAATGTGTGTCTTTGTGCGCATACCCCTAAACATTTTGTGAATCTAAGTTTGGTCTCAGTGAGGGGCAGTATTTCAATATGAGTAGGAAAATGAGAGTACCCCCTAAACTTTTTGTTTTTTAAAGAAAAAAAAGCACTGTTTGTGCGTATATGTGTAAAGCCACTTTGGCATCTAAGCGGCATATAGGTAAAGAAATAATAATTAACTGTGTATATGCACATCTTGATAGTTAAAGGGAGCGGCTGTTTTTTGTGTGATTCCCCTGCCCTGAATCTTTCTCTGACTTGCCAAAACTTCTGTCTTCTGCAAGTGTTTGTCTTCTCTATTGTGGCTTCGACAGTAGCACATGGATGTGGTTTATTGAGGCGCCTAGGGAGTGTTCTTCGTTAAGCCTAACAGCTTGTCTTTTGCTTTGCACATCAATTGAGCTTCTTAATTAAAATTCACCCCGGTGAGAATTAAAAGCCGCACTGCCCAGGGACCTCTCCCCCTCGCCTCCTTCCCCTGACACAGTTTCAAGCCAAGATGAGGGAAAACAAGGCCTCTGATTGGACAGCGACTCTTTCCTGAAATTGTTTGCATTTTTTGGACTCTGCTTTCTTCTCCTCAATTACTCTCTCCTCCTTGGGGGGAAAGGAGCAAGTTTTTAAAAACATAATACAATCAAGTCTGGAATTTTTATGCAGAGTATGTTGGGTTGGAAAGAACTGAGAATGTGTACTAGATTTTCTGTTCCCATTTAGAAAAAAGAGCAGATTTGTTAAAACAGAATAGACTTTGCAACTCCAAAGCACAGAGGAGGAAAAATGATGCTGATCAACCACGCATTACAATCCTTAGGTTTTGTACTTGGTAAATGATTTATTTTTTTTTAAATTGCCTGTTCTCCATGAGACTGCTGTAAAAAAGGAGAGAGATATGGAAAACGTGAATTTCTAAAGTTGAAAGTTTGGCATAAATGGAGGCTTTTTGTCTAAGTGCAATTGCTGTGCAGGGTGGGTGATTTTCATGGGGCTGTGACTAGGGAGGGAAGGGTTAAATTACCCTTCCTCCTCCTAGTGCTTTAATGCACCCTCTATGCAGTAAAAGAAACCCAATGAAAATTGCTTATCATTAAAATAAAATATTGCTTATCAAAAAAATTGTATTATCCTTACTTTTAACGCTGATGACACTGAACACTTTGAATTTAATGTAACATGGCACTGAGCCCTTTAGTGTTATAATGATTTTATTTCCTTCAGAGATGGTTTTATTATAATATATATAATTTTGTGGCACAGGCTTGAATTTCACAGAGTTGCATCAAATGGACACATTTTGATTGTGGAGCTTTGTATATGCATGCAAAATGTCCTCCAAACTCCCCTACGCTCATCTCCTCTGCTGTTGTTCGCTGGCTGATTGGCAGCTGTTTCAACATATCATTCCTTCTAGTTGTTGCCTAAACTAGGGCTCCTTTTTCCTGGTCATGTGATTGAGACTTGGCCACTGTGAGGATGTCACAGGCCTATCATGTAGCCAATCAGATCTGGCCAGCGCTATCATGTAGCCAACCAGATCCGGCCATGTGCTGACATCACAAAGCCAATTCATGGCAACCTTTCCTGCCCTCACTCTGAGCGAAACCCTTTTAACCACACTGGAATTGCCAGGCAAGGGAGAGGTACCTACAGGTTGCCAAAGCTTCCCTGGAAAATTGCCTTTTGTGGGGACTCTGCTCCGTTTCAGCCGAAGAGCTGAAGGTGCTGGTGTGGGCTGGATCCTGTTCCTGGAGACACTTCTACCACATCCAACATTTCAGGCAGTGCCGGATTTACGTACAGTGGTACTTCGGGTTAAGTACTTAATTTGTTCTGGAGGTCCGTTCTTAACCTGAAACTGTTCTTAACCTGAAGCACCACTTTAGCTAATGGGGCCTCCTGCTGCTTGCCGCACCGCCAGAGCATGATTTCTGTTCTCATCCTGAAGCAAAGTTCTTAACCTGAAGCACTATTTCTGGGTTAGCGGAGTCTGTAACCTGAAGCGTATGTAACCTGAAGCGTATGTAACCAGAGGTTACTGTATAAGCTAAACAAGCTATAGCTTAGGGCCCCACTTTCTTGGGGCCCCCCAAAAAAATTAAAGGAAAAAAAACACAACTGGATGTGCATTTCCAAAATATACGATAAAAAACAAATAAAATAAAACCTACATACAGCAACAGTGTTTTGCGTTGTATAGGCTCTTATGATGTAAGTAATGGGCCCCGCCTGCTAGCCTGCTCCCTAAAACATCACTGGTTTGCTCATTTCTATATATAGGGTGCCTACATAAAATAGAAATTTTATGATAAAATACATATTTTGTTATGTGCAAATGGCTTGAGATACCTATTAGGTCCATAAATTACCATATAGCATATATTCAACACAAAAAAACCAGTAACAATTTGTTCTTGACAAAGGACAGCTGGACATATAAAGGGCCCCATTACCTTCAGTAGCTTAGGGCCTCATCAAACCTAAATCCAGCCCTGATTTCAGGTCAGGGTTAGATTGCTCTGTTAGTTCTTTCCTTCACACCTTTCTACCACGATTTCTATTCCTATCTTTTGAAGAGGTTTTATCTCATGCTCAGTTTGGAAACACCTTTATGCCGCATTGCAAGGTGATTTATTTTGCGTAAAATGTTAACGTAGGTGCCCTTCTGTCACTTCTCCCAGCTGCCCATTAGAATTGTGTTTTGGCAGAGCTTAAATCCTTGCACAGTGTTTAAATGCTCCGAGTCCCTTAAGTACCGGTAGATTTGGGCACCTTTTTAAGAAGCACATTAAAAGTCCATATATTACCACATTGACACCTTAGAGCAGGTTAATAGTTGAGGGTCCCTCAAGGGGTCTTGGGAGATGTAGTTCTGTGGGAGTGCAGAAAACTCACTCAACGTTGATGCCATATTTCTCCGATGAAAATAGGGACGCCCTAAGGAAAAGCGGGACATTCCAGGATCCAATCAGAAACCAGGACTGCTTCTGTAAATCTGGGACTGTCCCTGGAAGATAGGGACACTTGGAGTAAGGTTGCTTTACGTCCGGAATTTCCCAGACGTAGTGGGGATTTGGCCATCGATTGCAGTGTCTGGGTGGGGATCGCTGGAATGTCCGGGGAAATCCAGACGTATGGTAACCAGTGTCGAAAAAGTAGTTTTTGGCTCAAAATAGCTCAAAAATGTTTTTTTTAAAAACGTTTGTTTCCGGATTTTCACTTTTTGAAACATATCAATCCTAACTTGGCGGTTCTGTGATAACAGGCAAGCCCTGATTATTTCCTCTACAATATTGTTGTTCACTGCAATGGGAATCTAGTGGCATACAGACGACTGGGCTGCTTTTCCCTGAATCACAAAGATCACTGGGAAGAAGCATTGTGGCACTGTGAAAATTATGCAGTTTTCAAGATTCTCCATAGCTGCTAGAAGCGATTACATAGCAGTGCTTTATATGTATAGTGAGGAGGCAGCCATGCTCTGTATGCCTGACTGCCTTTGTATGTTTGTGTTACCGGAATCTCAGCCCTGTTCAGATATCCTTGCCCACTGCTTGATGTACTACCAAGTGATGACTTGCGTGTTTGAAGGAGCCTTCAAAAGACAGATGACAGCTACACTTTCCAAGGGAGGTAGTCAGTAAGGGAGGTGCAAGAATATCTGGTCCCTGACACTCAGTTGATCCACATGGTCATTTTGGGGTATTAAAAAATGTCTGTAGCTATTTTCCTGCCCCCTTAGCCAGTGCCAGATTTACGTATAAGCTAAACAAGCTATAGCTTATGGCCCCACTCTCTTGGGGCCCCCAAAAAATTTAGAGGGGGGGAAAAAAGCCTGGCTGTACATTTCCAAAATATAAGATAAAAAACAAATCAAATAAAACCTACATACAGCAACAGTGTTTTGTATTCTGTAGGCTCCTATGATGTAAGTAATGGGCTCCGCATGCTAGCCTGCTCCCTTAAAATATCACTGGTTTGCTCCTTTCTATATATAGGGTGCCTACATTATGCATAAGGGACATGGGTAGCACTGTGGGTTAAACCACAGAGCCTAGGGCTTGCCGATCAGAAGGTCGGCAGTTCGAATCCCCGCGACAGGGTGAGCTCCCGTTGCTCGGTCCCTGCTCCTGCCAACCTAGCAGTTTGAAAGCACGTCAAAGTGCAAGTAGATAAATAGGTACCACTCCGGTGGGAAGGTAAATGGCGTTTCTGTGTGCTGCTCTGCTTCGCCAGAAGTGGCTGAGTCATGCTGGCCACATGACCCGGAAGCTGTAGGCCGGCTCCCTTGGCCAATAAAGCGAGATGAGCACTGCAACCCCAGAGTCGGTCACGACTGGACCTAATAGTAAAGGGTCCCTTTACCTTTACCTTTACATTCTGCATGGACTGGTTGCCTGGCAACATGCGCAAATGGCTTTAGATACCTATTAGGTCCATAAATCACCATATAGCATATATTCAACACAAAAAACAGAGACAATTTGTTGTTGACAAAGGACAGCTGGACATATAAAGGGCCCCATTACCTTCTGCAGCCTAGGGCCTCATCAAACCTAAATCTGGCCCTGCCCTTAGCCCATACTAAACGCATACCCTCCAACATTTCTCCAATGAAAACAGGGACATCCCATTCCATAATGATAATCTTGCTATTTATACTGGTTTGCTCCAACCACTCTGTGCAGCTTCTAACATATATAAAAACATAATAAAACATTAACAAAAAACCCCTTCCCTGTACAGGATTGCCTTCAGACACCTTGGGAGTCAGATAACTCCATACCCTCCAACATTTTTCCAATTAAAATAGGGACATCCTACAGAAAAGTGGGTTATCAGAAACCAGGATATCTTCTTTAAATCAGAAGCATCCCTGGAAAATAGGGACACTTGGAGGGTCTGTAAATATTTGCATGGTGTAAATCCTGCCTTAGCGGAGGAGTGGGGGCCACGTGCTAGGGTGTGGCTAAATTTGGCAGATGGGCAGGGCTGTCTGCCTGTCAATCACGTAACATCACAACCGGGGATCTGGATTCATAATGGTCTGCTGGGATCTGGGCTCTGGGCTAGTGGTTGAGGCTCAACTTTGAGCCAGGACTTACCCTATAGATTTGTGAATTAATATCTCAGCCCCTATGAGTTAGTACTAGAGGGTTCCTGGGTGTACACAGAGAGCCACATGCAGTCACCACAACCTGCCCACCCACCACAAAAATTGAGATTTTTGTGTCACCTCTTCATTTAGGAATTAGGAACTGAACTGTGACTAATTGGAACAGTGGGCATTTTCAGATTTGTTTTTGCACCTGCGGGTTGACATGTGAACACAGTGCTTTTGAGCATGTGCAGAGTGCTTTTTTCACCTAACTGCAGTGGTGTAGCTAGGTAATTTTAAACTCCAGACTCCATGCTATTATTGAGGGGTAGATGCAGAGATTCCAAAGGACCTTATAAAATTGTTTATGTATGCTACAACCGCAGCTAGAACAGAATTTGCCCAGAGGTGGAAAGAAGATATTATTCCAACCAAGGAAGAGTGGCCGATCAAATTAATGGACTATGCCGAAATGGCAAAATTAACAGGTGTAATAAGAAACCAAGAGGGCGAAATAGTTATTAAAGAGTGGGGAAAATTTGTGGAATATTTGAAAAGTTATGGCACCAGCAGGGTTAACTTAAAACCAGCAGTTTAATAAAAAATGATTATTAAGAGAAAGAAAAGAATAACTTAAAGAGGGAGTTATGTGGAAAATGCAGTATATAAAAAATCTAAAACTAAAGAAAAAACCACAAAAGGAGGGGAGGTTAGGCAAATTCATAGCTGTTGTGGATTACTTGTGAGTTATGTGTCTGGTATTTGTATGTTTGTAAACTTTTGAAAAACCAAAAAACCCACCAAAAACAAAAACAAACAAACAGTGCTATTATGGGGGGGGGAGAGACTCTCTTTAGAAGTTAGTGGGTATACCTTGGTCGCTTCAAAACTGGCTCTCTTGGTCATTCTGCTGATTGGGGGGGCCCTGGGTGTCCGCCCCAAAATCCTGCTTGACAGCATCATCAAGGTCTTTGAGGACATCAGGGGCTCTGAGGTAGATTAAGATTCCTATACCACCCTCTTGGAAATCGATTCCAGCTCCTGTGCTGATGCATTTACCAGATTTCAAGCACTCCAATCAATCAATCAATCAATCAATCAATCAATAAAATTAAAAATGCACAAAACGGCTGATTTGAGAATTCAGTTTGTGTGAATAGCTGTGTTTTCAGCATCAAATGATAATGAGCAAAACAACAACAACAACAACAGATGGAGTAGCTACTACAAGGCACCGGTTTCCAAATACGCCCTTCATCATTGTATATACATCTTGCAATCTTATGATTGTACAATCCTCACCGGGAAGGAAAAAAAACTTTCCCGGTGCCATTTCGAGCAAGGGTTGAAGAAGATGATACAAACACAGATTTCTTTTTTTAAAAATACATTCTTTATTGAAAAATGTAAAAAGTACAAAATTACAAGTGCACAGAGTAAGATAAGACACGAAAAAGAAGAAGAAACAAGAAATAGTACCCATGCAGAAAACAAAGCAGAAAAAAGATGTTGTATACATTAAAAAAAGGGGGTGGAGGCTTGTTATTGTAGTTAACCAGACCTTAATCTAATACGGTATTTATGAACTGGAAAAATAAAAATGTATCTCTCTTTAATGATTGAATGGAGAATAAGGATAAGCTTGCAACAAATGAACAAGTTGTGCACAAACGTAGACTTGCCATGGACAAATGTAAGGATATTTGGAATTCGTTTTTATAAAGATGTAACCACAGATTTAACAGGATCCCACCACACACCCCATCCTGGTGGTTGCATGCATTTATCCAAATCCTGGATGAATCCTTGTCTGGTTATATGTTAACAGTCGCTGGAATTGGGCCAGTTACTTACTTCCTTTCCCCTTTCCCCTTTCTGTTTGCTTTCGAAGACCTTGAGAAATCGACCATCATTGAGAACGGCGAAATCCGTATCAACGGCAAAGGCAAGAAGATCCGCAAGCCACGCACGATCTACTCGAGTCTCCAGCTCCAGGCCCTCAACCAGCGCTTCCAGCAAACCCAGTACCTGGCATTACCTGAGCGAGCAGAACTAGCAGCGCAGCTGGGCTTGACCCAAACCCAGGTGAGATGTTGCAAATGTCCTTTAGTTCATTTATCTGTAACATAACTTCCCTCACCCCCAAGTTCCTAGGAGTTTAGGGTCTGACCTACACGTAGGGTGGCCTGGTGAGAAAGAGGACTTCAATACTTCTGTTAAAAAAAAAGAAAGGTAAAGGACCCCTGGACAGTCAAGTCCAGTCAAAGGCGACTATGGGATTGTGGCGTTCATCTTGCTTTCAGGCCAAGGGAGCTGGCGTTTGTCCACAGACAGCTTTCCTTCTTTTTCCAAAGAAAAGGAAGAAAATAAAGAGGAAAGGAAAGGAATGCAAGGCCCTTTATCACAATTATATCTTAACCCTTATTCCATGCACAGAAGAGTGAAATCTCCCAGCTCTCGCTTGGGAGCTCCCCCCCCCCACTTTTCCCAGTCTCCCACCCTGGAATATCCTCTCTGCCCTGCCCCTCACACAGGACCCTTCATCTTCTGCCCATCACCTTCCTGCATCTTCATTAATCCAAGATGGGGAACCTCAAAAAGCAGAGCATAAATATAAATAGAACCAGGACATTTTTTTCAGCCAGAACTCAGTTCCAGCACCCCTCAGATGGATGCCATTGCCATTATAAGAGAACGAGGGAGGCGTTCATGGTGAGTTCTGGCACCTCTTTTTCTAGAAAAATAGCACTGGATAGAATGAACAGAAAGAAAACAAGAATTAGAGATCATAGAGAGGTAAGATACCCCTGCAACCCCTGCTCTTAATTACTACATCCAGGGCCAGATTTAGGTTTGATGAGGCCCTAAGCTACTGAAGGCAATGGCGCCCTTTGTATGTCCAGCTGTCCTTTGTCAACAACAAATTGCCACTGTTTTTTGTGTTGAATATATGCTATATGGTGATTTATGGACCTAATAGGTATCTAAAGGCATTTGCACATAACAAAATATGTATTTTATCAAAGTAATTGTTGAAATGAAATACAATTAAGAAGAAATATATGAATAGTGAAATACAATTAAGAAGCCCAAGTTTGAGAAACAAGGTACCATTGTATATAGAAATGAGCAAACCAGTGATATTTTAGGGAGCAGGCTAGCAGGCGGGGCTCATTACTTACATCACAGGAGCCTACACAACACAAAACACTGTTGTTGTATGTAGGTTTTATTTTATTTGTTTTCTATCTTATATTTTGGAAATGTACATCCAGGTTTTTCCCCCCTTAAATTTTTTTGGGGCCCCCAAGAGAGTGGGGCCCTAAGCTATAGCTTATTTAGCTTATACAGTGGTACCTCGGGTTAAGTACTTAATTCGTTCCGGAGGTCTGTTCTTAACCTGAAACTGTTCTTAACCTGAAGCACCACTTTAGCTAAAGGTGCCTCCTCCTGCTGCTGAGCCACCAGAGCACGATTTGTGTTCTCATCCTGAAGCAAAGTTCTTAACCCGAGGTACTATTTCTGGGTTAGCAGAGTCTGTAACCTGAAGCGTCTGTAACCCGAGGTACCACTGTACGTAAATCCAGCACTGACTACATCACACTAGTTGTGATAGTCCAGTCTCTCTTTAGTAGCTGTGTAGTAACAGTAGCAGAAAATGCAATAATTTTTCTGATAATTGAAATTGGAATGAAATGTTACCGTCGTTTCCCATTCTCTCCATTTCTGAGCTTATGGCTGCGCTTGTCATTCTTTTCGTAGCCACAACTGCCCAGCCTACGGTCGAGAAAGAGGTGACAGCAGGCTTGAGAGGTTTGCAGAAGTACAAGAAACGCATTTAGGGGAGGATGCATTGCGTAGTGTGGGACCCAATAGCAGCTAAGCACGCACTGAGCATGCTCAGTGGTTGTGGAATGCTGACGGACGGTTTCAGGGAGGTGGTGGAAAGCGAGGGAGCAAGGGAAGGGAAGGGAGAGGCTGGAATCCTGGGCAGCAACACTTTGCACCGGTGGTGACATTTTATTGCGCAGGTGTGAGTGACTGTGGCAGGTGCCGGGCAGAGTGAGGTGTTCTCTGCCCAGAAGGTGTTGCACTCTTCCTTAGGCAAGACACTAATGGAGAAAGCTCAGGAACAAACAGGAGGATTGTGGGAATGGGGTTGAGTGGAAATGAAGTACGAGGCTTTCCCCTGTGGCTGGAAATGCTTCACCTGTTGAATTTCTGGCTGTGCCCCCAGTATTTAAGAAGCACGGGCTCCCTGCCAGGATGACAACAACCATGTATATTCAACTGGTAAAGCTTATGAACTCCCCTTTTGGTGCGCCAAATCCAAAGGCACGGTCCGGTGATGTCTGTTTCCATGTGACTCGTGCTGGAGTCTCGCCCCCTGGATTTTGCCCACGCTTTGGGAGATTTTAGGGGAACTGGCACTATCGAAAGTTTCTTCCACTCACCCAGAAGCTCTTCCTCACAGGTGGTTGAGCAGCTTAAGGAGATCGCTCGAGACAGACAGATGTCAGGGGTGAGCCCAGAGCCAGAGGCATAAAAAAGATTTATTTTTATTTAGGCAGAGAAGGAGAGAGTCAAGTAAGAACCTGCCAAATCTGCACACTGAGAACTTGTGGGGTGGGTGAGGGCAGGGAATTGTGTTGTAGGACTGTGAAGCGTTATAAAATGGGGTTCTTCCTCTGTGGGATATCAGAATTAGCAGGTAAACCAAACGTGAATAGAAAAAAAAGGCAGCAGTTTGTTTTGGTCTCTTTCCGAGGAGCTATGGGCTGGAGCACATGGAATATTCCGAACTGAATAGCTCCCCCAATTGGCTGCTTGGCAGATAAAGGTGCTATATGTGTATTTCACAGAATCATAAGAGCTAGAAGGGGACATAAGGGTCATTTAGTCCAGCCCCCTGCAATGCAGGAATCTTTTTGCCCAACCTGGGGCTCAAACCCATGATCCTGAGGTTAAGAGGACTCATATTATGTCATAAAATTGACACACCGCTCGCTTGTAGAAACCTCAAAGCAGTTTACGAAAAGATAAAGCAATGAAATCAAGAGAGAGAAAATTACAACAGCGCTTTAAAACGTACAAAAGTTAACATGCTAAAACAGATTAAAATTAGAATAGGTTAGCCCATGGAATTTTTGGCTTTCGGGCAGGGGAGGAGTTGGTATTCTGCAACAAATTCTGGTTCCGCAGTGGAATGAAAGAGTAACAGCAAAAGTCAGGACTCTTGCCTCAGTGTGAGGCACTTGCGGAAACAAGGATTTTAGATAGTGTGCAAAAAGTTCCTCTATACTTTGGACACCACAAGCACCCTCAGCTTGCACACTTAGACACTGTGTAGCGTCAAGTTCAGCCAAAATAAGTAAACAGGATATTGTTTGTATCGGCTTGTATCTGAGTAGGATTCAAAAACTCATTTTGTTCTGTTCAGTGTTTTATTTTTGTGTTGTGTGTACTGGTCGTAAAGTGTGGCTCCCATTATTATTATTATTATTATTATTATTATTATTATTTTATTTACCTGTTTTACCCACTTTTTAAAAACGTTTTAAATGATAAGTTGAGCTTTGTTTTACATTCTTGTGAGCTTCTTTGGAAAGGGTTCCTTCCCCTCTCAAAAATGTCGGGGTATAAACTTACTATACAAATAAATTGTCTTCCCTGGTGCACCAAATATGACCCTATACTCTTCTCTGAAACTTCATCAGAACCAAAGAGGTTTAGTTTTAGGTCTTGAAGAAGTCTGTGATGCATTTATGCTACAGTTTTCATACACACCATGCATTTAAAGTATATGACTTTCTGTAAATTATGGTTTCCAATATTTTTCACAGCGATGGGGCAAATTTAGCCCCTCCCTCCCTTTAATAGAGAGAGAGAGAGAGAGATAACTTAGTATGAATATAATGTTGTTTTTAAAAATTGAGCCTTGTCGCCTAAATCCACTTGCTCAGGGGAGGTCCATGGTGGGCAATATATATATTTTTCTTTTAAAAGAGAGCTCGAGGTGGTTTCAGGGAGTCTTCGCTTCTTGTGGGGTGCACATTTATTTTCTCCCAACCTCCCTTCTGGACAAACAGGTTTGGCAGGTTTTGGAGACAAAGCAACAACCTGCAGGACCTGTTTTTCCGGGGATGAAAGTGGGATGAGTTCTTCACACCATGAGCAAGGATCCCTCTTCTGAGCCACCCTTTCTCAGGAGAAAATAATCTGTCCCAAGCTCTCTCTGTTTGTATGTTCAATAATAAAGGCTGATGGTGCAGCTTGAGCAGACAAAACTTCCTTATGCCAGCATTGTCTACCTTTGTTGGCAGAAGCTCTCCAGAGTCTCAAGCAAAAAGGGGGTTTTCACATCCCTGCTACCTGACATTCTTTGATCTGGAGATCCCCGAGATCTAGGTTGCATCCATACCATATCTTATACCACATTGGCTTCTCCCAAAGAATCCTAAAGGTAAAGGGACCCCTGACCATTAGGTCCAGTTGTGGCCGACTCTGGGGTTGCGGTGCTCATCTCGTTTTACTGGCCGAGGGAGCCGGCATACAGCTTCCAGGTCATGTGGCCAGCATGACTAAGCCGCTTCTGGTGAACCAGAGCAGCGCACGGAAACGCCGTTTACCTTCCCGCCGGAGTGGTACCTATTTATCTACTTTCACTTTGACGTGCTTTCGAACTGCTAGGTTGGCAGGAGCAGGGACCGAGCAACGGGAGCTCACCCCGTGGCGGGGATTCGAACCGCCAACCTTCTGATCAGCAAGTCCTAGGCTCTGTGGTTTAACCCACAGCGCCATCTGCGTCCCCAAGGAATCTTGGGAGGCCATAATTTGCAAAGGTTGCAGAGAGTATTTAAGAGACTTGTCACAGACAGTGGTGTAGGTAGCCACTCGGGTGCCTGGGGTCTCCTGGGGTCTCAGGAGAGTCGCGTGGCTCAGGCACGCTGCAGGTACCACAGTGTGATGCCCAGTGCCCCCCGCCTCACCTAGCTACGTCTCTGGATTAGGCAGGTTCATGGAGGAGGGGGCTGTCGAAGGCTACTAGCCATAAAGGCTGTGCTCTGCCTGCATAATTGGAGACAGCAGTGCTTCTGGTTTCTGGAAATTGCTTGAGGGGAGAGCGTTCCTGCATTGGCTAGGAAGGGGGGTGCGGTGGGAGTGGGAGTTATTTTTTCAAAAACACACATTTTTTGCCATTTTGTCACCCCCCTCAATGATGACACCCGGGGTGGCCTGCACCCACTGCACCCCCCTTCCTACGCCACTGGTCACAGAGCTACAGTCCCCAGAACTCTTAGCAAACTACGGTTCCCAGGATTCTTTGGGGGAAGCCATGACTGCTGAAGTGGTATAAGAGTGCTTTAAATGTAAGATGTGAGCGTGACCTGGATTTCAGACCTCCTGCGTGCAACATACATTCTCAGCCATTGAGCTATGACCCATTAGCTTCAACCTGGCCTTTAGCCCTGGCACCTATTTTAAACGCTCACCAAATGGAAGGTGTGCAATAAGTCTATTTTCTACCACATCGTGGCCCCAGCTGGGGCAAAAGGGAGGTGTACGTTGCTGGCGGGGTATTAGCACTGCACTTTAAATTGTTATAAGCTGCCCTGGGACCTTGGCATTGAGGGCAGGTAATAAATTTAAAATACATATTATTAATAATAGTGGAATCACAGTCCCAATCCTTCTGGCTACTTTTCACTTATGAGGAACCAGTTACTAGGAAGATTAGCCTCTAGTGAATCTTCTTTTGCATGCAAAAAAATTTTCCCCAAAGTTACAGGTGCCTTGACACTAGATTCTCTCCCCCCTCCCCATTGTTTCTCTCCTTCTGTATTTTAAACTATTACCCAGTAATATATGACAATCCATCTGCTCCCCCTGCTACACTGCACTCCTAAGTTTTCAACATGATGAGACGGGGATAATGTAGCACATAAGAAGGGAAGACTCTGGAGGGATAAATCACATATTTTTCTACTGCTTCTCCCTCCAGTAGTTTTCCACCTCCTCAAAATGCCCTGAAGACCAATGTTTACACTTTGCCCTCTCTGATCTTTCCACAAATGCCATTGTGCAACCAGCTTTTTTGGGGGGGGGTGGAGAAGAAGGAAGAAAAGGTGGGGGAGGAGAACTTATTGAAAAAGTTAGCTGGGGTCAGGCAGCAACAGAGCGTATTAAAAAGGCAAGTAGGGGCAAGTAGCTGCTGGAGGTTGCCAAAATATGCAGCATGCTTCACAAGCCCTGATCTTTAATCCTTGCAATAGCCCTAGGAGATAGGGCACGATTATTCCCATTTTACAGACTAGGAAATTAAGGCAGATGGAAAGAGGCTTATGGCATTGGAAGGCACCAAGAGGCAAGGCAACCCCAGCCCCTTGCCTTGAGGCAGGATTATCCATTCACCGGCTTATCACAGGTTGACTTAAAGTGTTTGGAAATTTCTGGCCTCAGAGGCCATGCCACATGATCCAATAGGTACCAGGCTGCAATAAATTCTAGGGTATCCTTCTCTAGACGCAGTTCCTTTATTGGCACAGTCCCCGCCACACATTACTGTACTGCTGCTTTGAGTGTCCATGCCTACCCTCCAACTCAACCACTGAGCCCAGGCTTGCCGATCGGAAGGTCGGCGGTTCGAATCCCCGCGATGGGGTGAGCTCCCGTTGCTCTGTCCCAGCTCCTGCCAACCTAGCAGTTCGAAAACACACCAGTGCAAGTAGATAAATAGGTACCGCTCTGGCGGGAAGGTAAATGGTGTTTCCGTGCGCTGCTCTGGCTTCGCCAGAAGCGGCTTAGTCATGCTGGCCACATGACCCGGAAAAAGTGCCTGCGGACAAACATTGGCTCCCTCGGCCAGTAAAGCGAGATGAGTGCCGCAACCCCAGAGTCGTTCGTGACTGGGCTTAACTGTCAGGGTCCCTTTACCTTCATTTTAAAACAGAATCACTCTTTTGGAGGGTTAAGGGCATGGGTGAGAGAAAGTCCCAGCCCACAAGTAGAAGTCTTTGCCCTGATGTGATGGGCTAGTTGAATCCTACCAGCAATACCACCACCATTTTGCCCTTGGTGGAAATAGCACCAGACAGTGCCGTTCAAGAACATTATACACAAGTGGTTTGACATACACATCCCCACACTGCGTAGGTGCATAGGATCAAATGTCTTAAGCAGAGTCAGGCCACAGGCAGGACCAGTAAAGGGCTTCCTTCCTGTATGAATGTTACTACAAGTCTGAGTGTTTGGCTGAGTCCATATATGGCAACTTCAACACAGTCTGGAAAGGAATGCCAAGACAATTCAATATGTGGCAGAAGTTCTGCATCCAAATTTTGACTCTTTAGAATTTTTCCAACGCTTTCACATTTGAGTTTCAACTTGAGTGTTGCTGGAGAACATTGAGACAATCGGGGCAAGTGTTGACTTGCATATTCAATATTCGACCGCACTACAGTTCTTGAACCTAACACTATTCATGAATGCAAAGGGGGGGAAGACCTTTAAGATGAGAAAAATATATATATTTTTAGCAAGGGCGTTCAAGAAGGAAGAACTTGCTTGATGACTTTTTTCCTTTCTTTCTCCTAGCCTTGTTTTGCTTCTCTCAACTGGTTGCTGACCGAAATAAATTTAGGCTGCTTCTCTGCATGCTCTGTTTACACCTTTCCCTCTCTGTTATCGCAGGTGAAGATCTGGTTCCAGAACAAGCGTTCCAAGTTCAAAAAGATTATGAAGCAGGGCTCCAGCATCCAAGATGACCACCTCCACAGTTCCTCATCCTTGTCCCCTTGCTCCCCCAACATCCCCCCACTCTGGGACATCCCCATGGCCTGCAAAGGCCCTCCCCTGCCTCCCAGCAGCTACATCAACAGTTTTGGACCTTGGTACCACCAACCGCAGCACCAAGACGCCATGGGGAGGCCTCCGGTGATGTGACAAAAGGGGCGCTGGCAGCATCAGCCCATCCTCGATGTGTCTCTTCCTCCAAAGTGCTGATCAGGGTCCCCGGAACAGGCGAATGGAGGGCATGGAGTTTGGAGGGAGAAGTTGGCTTCTTTGAAGGAATCACCAGCACTTTCCTCTTGGTGAGAACATCCCTGGCAGGAGATGGACTTCGAACGGACATGTCCAGGGACCAAATCTTAACAACGATGGCAGGTTGTGTGAGGCAAAGTTAGGGAAAGAACCCCCCAGCTCCGAAACACGAATGGAAGGTCAGGGTCCCATTTGAATCGGCGTCTCTTCATCAGGGATTTTACCAGAGAGGTGCTTGTGTGTTTTTCGTTCCAAAGATAGGCTCTTGGGTGACACGGACCTTACGTCAGATCTAGTTGTGTTAGTAAGAGGTCAGGTTTTTGCCATATTTCCCCCTCTCATCCAGCAAGGCTTCTGTGCCTTAAGCAGTATTGATGGAAGACAGGAAATAAACAGGTAGTGGTGTTGCTGGTTTGGAGGTTCAGTGACGGGAGGACTTTATCTGTTGTATTTCTGCCTTGTCCTGCAGAGGCTCAAGGCACAGGAGCTTTGCCATCTTTGTGTTTCTTTTTTGGGGGGGCAATCCTAGTTAGTGTAGCAAGGTTTTGAGCTGCACAAAGATCTACTCCAGGCAAGGACCTGAGAGAAGGAATGATTAACTGGTCAAACAGGCAAGAAAGCAGCTCTTGGAGAGTTCTTTTTATTCAAGGGACTAGTTCTAGTTCTATATGTCTAAAAAGTTTGGGTTCTTCCCTTTACAAGACAAACTAGTTCAGTTCACAGTTCAATTCAAGTCCGTCCAAATCCTCAACAGCAACAACAACACACCAAAATAAACCGATTCAGAATGTTACAAGCTGCGGTGCTGGAGTATAGAATATACTTAAGACTCAGAAAATGTCAATGCACACACAGAGAGTGGAATGAGAAATTGTTTCATTGATTTCCCCCCAAATATTATGTTCTACAAACGTAAAGGCCCAAAGAGTCTAAAATATAAAAATAAAATAAAAATAAAAAAGAGAATGAACTAGAAATCATTCAAAGCTCTACCCCAAAACAAACTTGATTTTAGTTCACCTGTTAGTTATAGGAATGGCTTTCGGCTTCAGAGATTTTGGAACCAATTCAGTGAACATTATAAAATCAAAACAGTTCACTCCAAGCACTGTAGGAAAGAGAGCCTAAATATTGGCATAATTTCATAAAGGGGAGAGGGGCAAGGATACATGTTAGGCTGGATATTCTCATGGGGTTAAAACTGGCAAGAACTTACCCATCAAAATTGGTTCAATTCACCTTCTACCTGCAAAAGAAATTGGTGATAGTTCTAGGTAGCCAATTCCCATAGAGCCGCAATTTGCTAAAAGCAGGGGGGAAATACATATATTTTTTAAAATATCCAACTGCTTTCTCCAAAGCCAAATTCCCTTCCATGTCTGTCTGTACTAAAATATTTTTTCATTAAAAATTGTGCTAAAGCCAGGATTATGTTTACAGTCAATGAAACGTTTGTGGAATGTAATCTCCATATCCTCTCCCCACTCCCATATTATTTTTTTAAGAAAAAGGGATCTTTCATATTTGTTTCAGCTACAACATGAAGTCTCCCACCCCCGCACACCTCCAGCAAATAACTGGAGGCTATTTAACTAAACCATTAAAAGAAAAAAGAAAAAACTAATTTAACTTTTCTCTCTCCCTCCCCCCACTTTGCCAAGCATAATGACATTTTTATTTATTGAAATACAGCTTTTGGTATATTGTATTGTTTTCAATTTATAAACAGAATGTAAAACTATAAATATTTTTTTTTTGTACAAACAAACGCTGTCAAGCTCCTCCTTTATCATTCTTGTAAAGCAAGAATTCCCCTCATCCTTGATTACTGGTCCTGTTAGCTAGGGATGATGGGAGTTGTAGTCCCAAAACAGCTGGAGGGCCAAGTTTGGCCATGCCTGTTGTAAAGTTTGAATCTAGAAAATAAATGGAGACGACTGTTATGAGTCTTCAACACCACCATTCCATAGCTGTCAACTTACAGATTTGAAAATAAGGGACCAGCAGCCTCGAAAATAAGGGACCAGCAGCCAAAATAAGGGATTTTAGTCAACCAGCTGAAATATGAAGTTAAAAGGGACCAGATAATTTGGGAGAGCAGTGCCGGTTTTTAGCCCTTCATTTCCAGAGGTTGCTGCTCAAGACACCAGCTGATGAAACACTGCAATTAAATAATTACAAGCAGCAACCACTTTTTGCGCAAAACGAAGTCCAAGCTACGAAGATGCTGCTGCAGTTCTGTATCTTTTCTCTCGTGCTCCATCTGCAGCTTTCAGTTCCATCAGGCGGGGCGGGAGGAAGGGGGTGTGGGAATAGCTCCCGAAGTAAACCCGCAGATCAGACCATCTATGCTAGTCTACCACTACAAATCTATGGGAGAAGCGCTTGCGGTCCTTCCTCCACTTTCCCCCTCTATGGCTAGCCCTTGGAACACCTGCCTGTGCCTTTGCCTCCGCCTCCTCCTCTCTCTGAACTGCTTTCTCTATGGTTGCCCTCGCTCTCCTCTCAAGGCTCCTCAGCAATTCATAGGCTGCGCCAGGCTGCCCATCTCATCCAGGTCCTTCGGTGGCGCACCTGCAGTACAGCCTAGCGGGAGCGACGGCCCCAGGCAGAGATGCTCAGTTCGGTGGCCGCGAGGAGGATGGCGGCGGAAGGGCCTGAGGCTCCCACCAGTCCTGGCAGGGAGGAGCTCCCGGGGGCAGAGGCTGGTGAGAGAAGGCCGGAGGGGGGCGGGCCAGGCAGCCAAGCAACACAGTTGGAGCCTCCCTCCTCCCCTCCTCGCTGGCTGGCAGGGAGGGGGGAGGGAGAGGAGCTGCTTCCTTTGAAACCCGGGAAATTTAAGGGACATCATCAATAAGGGACACGGCGCTGGGATAAGGGAGTTTCCCGCCAAATAAGGGACGGTTGAAAGCTATGCACCATCCCTGCAGACTCAGTTATTGTATGGAACTGGATCTCCAGAGACACAATGCCATGCTCTGATTCGGCAGAACCCGGCAACTGCATAATGAGGAACCCCATAGGGCAGGCAAAGCCAGTGTGTGGCAGCAGCAAGAGGCCCCATTAGCTAAAGTGGTACCTCAGGTTAAGAACAGTTTCAGGTTAAGAACGGACCTCCAGAATGAATTAAGTTCATAACCAGAAGTACCACTGTACTTGGATTTTCCTTCAGCATGATGGCACCCCCTGTGTTTCTTTAGAGACAGGCAAGGTGTTTTCGCTTATACCCACCAAAATCAATTTTTGCCCAAGTAGGATCCCCAGCTCTTGAAATAATTTTTTTTTTTTTGGCCCAGAGACAGAGCTTGGCAGGCTCAGAAAATGTTCTGCTAGCAAATGAAAACTGCCAGTGTCTTTCACCGGGCATAGCATGACCGTACGATAGTAGGCCATGCAAGATCATAATCCGAACCAGGTTACAACTCTGTCACATCCAGAAAATGGGGTGGAATATACATGCAAAGCAGAAGATTCAGGAAATGAGCTCCGAGGAACAAATGTCTGCAGCTCAAGTCACACACATGCAGCACATATTGCCAAGGGAATTAACCATCTAGAAAACATTTATCCATTTTACAGATGGGAACCACTAGGGCAATTGGTGACTCAACTGCAGAGAACTCAAAACACATTAAAAAAGGACAAAATAATTTAAGAAAATGAGCCAAGCCACAGACTTCTACTGGTAAAGTCATGCATATGCAAAACATGGTGAATGAATTAAGCTCCTCCTCCAATGCTGGGGTGACTCTTCCTTGTCTGCTTGCCACACAGGATGTGATGACCATTTTAAATGTTGTAGTCTACACAATGTAGCCCCCACCAGGGTTCTGCATGCCACAATACGGTGTGTGTGTGTGTGTGAAAAATGCATCAAATGAATAAAAAATAAGAATTCTCTTGGGTAGAGATCTCCACCTTCATCTTGGGCTGCATCGGCATTGAACATCTAAAACACTGTGATACCACATAAAACAGGGACGTGGGTGGCGCTGTGGGTTAAACCACAGAGCCTAGGACTTGCAGATCAGAAGGTTGGTGGTTCGAATCCCCACGATCGAGTGAGCTCCCGTTGCTCGGTCCCTGCTCCTGCCCACCTAGCAGTTCGAAAGCACGTCAAAGTGCAAGTAGATAAATAGGTACCGCTCTGGCGGGAAGGTAAACAGCGTTTCCGTGTGCTGCTCTGGTTCGCCAGAAGCGGCTTAGTCATGCTGGCCACATGACCCGCAAGCTGTACGCCGGCTCCCTCGGCCAGTAAAGCGAGATGAGCGCCGCAACCCCAGAGTCGGTCACGACTGGACCTAATGGTCAGGGGTCCCTTTACCTTTACTACCACATTAAACAGTTTTGGTTTCCACCCCCCAAAAAAAGATTTCTGGGAACTTGTTAAGGGTGCTGAGAGTTGTTCGGCAACCCCTATTCCCCTCACAGAATGACAATTCCCAGTTGCCTGGAAAGAGGGATTGATTGTCAAAGCACTCTGGGAACAGTAGTTCCTTTTGGGAAACAAGAGTCTCGTGGCAAAACCCTCAGCACCCTTTAACAAACTACATTTCCCAGGATTCTTTGGGGGGAAAGCACGGCTGTTTGAAGTGGTACGACACTACTGCAAAGTGGCCTGCCATCTTCTGGGTTGTCCCTACAGAACCTGCTCCTCTTAGCCCCACCACAATCCCCGGGGAAGGACTCCCTGGGGGAAAGAACTGCCCTAACCATCAAGTGTTTCAAATCATATGCAGAGCATGTTTTCCTCATTATGGAGGGTGTTGTTCACACACTCATGGTGCCAAAGGTGTGTGTGTAAAGAATGAGTCACTTGTGTAGCCTCTTTCCATGCTCCTGGAATCTCTAGTCATACAGCAGGTATGACTTTTGGCCGGTAGCCATGACAGAAATCCATC